GGTTTAATTTAGTGTACTGGGAGAACGTTCCTAATATTGAGTCCAAATGGTGTGGTGGTTTTAAGTAAAAGTTCCCAGTGATTCTCTTTATCTTTGCGATTTTTGTCGCTCCAATTGGCATTATGGTCAATTGCAATCACTCTGAAATTTGAATAAATATATATATTTGATATATATATATATGCGTGTGTGTGTGTAAGCGAAAATTTCATTTAATAAATGTATACGTCTCAAGCTTTGTCAAAATGTCCAGTGTTCACTTTAACAACTGCAGTGTTTAATGTTTTTTGTTAAACGCGACGGTGTTCAGCGGGAACAACTTTGATAGTAATTCAGTTTACCTTTTGCAATCATTCCTCAGCACCGTTTTCAATTGTACTTTTTGTTGTGTCTGTTTATATTGTTTTATAAGAGAACATAATTGAAATGAAATTACCATCATCATCTTTATCATCAAAACCTTCATCACAACCATCATCATCGTCGTCATATGATCATCATTTATCATCATCATGCATAGTCATCTTGAGTCCCCCGTTGGGGAGAAAAGCCACAATTCGTCTGGGAGAAAAACATTTATGTGTATTTTTCACACACAGTATTAGTAGACTCCAAAACTGATTAAAAGCCTTTGAAACCCCTAAATTGTCCGAAGCCCCCTGGAACACTTTCAAGAGATTTTGAGCAACGCCCGACCACGCCCACTTTTTTTCGTCGAGGACATGGGACCACCACTGATCATCATAATCATCGTCGTCCTGATCATCATCATCATCGTAATATTCATATCCATCGTCTTCATTTAATCATTATCACCATCATCATCATCATCATCATCATAGATGTGCCTGACACAGACATATTGATCAAACAGGTTCTGTTAAGTCGAAAAACAATATTATTGCTTTTGGCAAAATCTTCTAGTTGTTGAATGTGACACTCGTGTACATTTTCATTATTTTCATTACAACATGTTTGTTTTCAAGGGTTACTTTTCCTCACATTCGCGCCGTAACTTCCCTGCGGCAGGAAGCTTATAAGGTGGCCTGTGGTTGGATGAATCATAAGACTTATTATTGTTTTTTTTTTTTATAATCTGTTTTGGTAATTTTATTTATATGATGGTTATTTTTATTATTATTATCATTATCTTTATTATTATTATTATTATTATTATTATTATTATTATTATTATTATTATTATCATCATCATCATCAAAGTATTGTTAATATTTTTGAGAGACGTAATGAGTATTCGATAGATTAACATGTCAGGTAGGGCAAAACATCACTCCTATGATATTTTCCTGACGCAAATTTATATCTTTATAGCACTTGCAGTACCCGCTGCTACTAGGGGATCGGATTCATCACTAGTCACTAAGCGCAATCTCGGTGGACTAGTGGTTAAGACATCAAGCTAGATCTGGAGGACGTGAGTTCGATTCCCACCTAAATGACTTTTTTTTTCGCTAGTATTCGGGGACATACTGAATATTTTGATTGTTTATTGTTATTTTAAGTCTATTATTTGTTATATTGTTATTATATGGTTATGGCTATTATTCTCCTGAAGACGATTGAAGCATCTCAATCGAAACGTGAGACTTTCTCAACAACAACAGTTCTTTTCATAACTACTTACGTGGTGTACCGCAAGCTTCAACACACACACACACACACACACACACATGTTTATATGGTTAATAAATACCGGTAATATATAATTACAATGAAACTTTATAATGTAATATTATATACATATGTATATATATATATATATATATATATATATATACATATATACACATACATACATATATATATATATATATTGTTATTATTAACATTTATATTATGTTTATTACCATGTCCGTTGATATCTAATAATAATTATAAATAATAATGTGAAAATAATTACCGTATGATAGTAATATTTATATATTGTTTTTATTGTCATTATAAATAAAATATGGTATTTAATAATTATGCTTTCAAATTAATTTTATTGTTGTTTTTTTTTGTTATTTTATTGTCACTATTGTAGTACTATAACAATTACTATTGCTATATATAATATTCAATACCGCTTTCCATTTATTTGATAATGACGTGTTCTTATAAATGGAACAGTTGAGTGAATGATTGCTTGTATAATTGCTTGATTGATTGATTGATTATATCATGACAAAGACTGAAAATAGGAAAATTGAGACTAGCTTTTCTTTATACATATTTTTAAATATTTTAGTAATAAACACAGTAGGCTATACTATTTAATATAATTAAAAGGCAAATAAATTTAATATAATACCCTACGTTAAAATCACTAAATTTGATTCCTCTTCTAGGCCTGTATATTACAACACGTATGCTTTGCGTCTAGAAGTTATCACTAGAAAGGCCTTACACTGTTGTCCCGGTTACAGGAATGACACGGGTACCTGTATTCGTAAGTTAACTAATGCTTTTTTGGGGAGCATCCTATAAATTCGTAATGGGTCTTTCCAGAATGTCAATCGAATTTAACAACTGACCAATCAGAATAGGGCAATGAATATGCGCTTGTCGGACAAGCGCGTGTGTTGTCCTGCAGAGGCACGTGACGTGCAACATACCCAAGGGGCGGTCTAAAGCCTCTTTTCCACTAGGCGAATTTATTCACGCGAATCCAAAGCGTCGGCTTATGCATATGCGCATTCACATTCCTATCGGAGTTTTTGCGAAGAGAAAAAATGCGCAACCAATCAGAGCTCAGGAAGCGAACTGACGCCTTGATTCGCGCGAACAAATTCGCCTAGTGGAAAACCAGCTTGGGAGAGGTCCATTTGCGTGCCTAATCCTACTTGCAATTCTCAACACTGTTGTAGCAAGTATACAATTATTTGTATCTCTACCTCAATAGTAGGCGGTACTAATTAAAGATCCTAGTAAAGTAATCGGCGTATGTTCGTCTCCCACCCTCAGCCCACAGTTTTCCCTCCTATTCAAATTAGGCCTCTCTATAAAATGCATAAATATATTAAATTTGTTTGTCACAAGCATCATATAGATATCTTTTACATTCTTGTAGCGGTCTGTGACCCACCATGTAAATATGATGGCGTATGCTCTTCCCCTGGTATATGTCAGTGCGTCGCAGGATACTCAGGACCCTCTTGTCAGTTTAGTGAGTGAAGACTTCATTATTTGTAGTATCTATTTATATGAATTTAATGATGTCATTATTTATTTGTCTAGCTTAAAAGACATGTATATTTGATTCTAACTAATATAAGCACACTTTCGCTTTTATATATGTTGCGTTTTGTTTTTGTATTTAGATAACGGCTAAACCAATTGCAAATTTCAAAATAAAATGTAGGCAAGTTGAATGCGATGTGTTGAAGTTTAGTTTATTATGAAGTGAAATTAATAGTTTAATAACGTGTTTGTAGGTTGTTCGGATAACACGTTCGGCATCGAATGCCTGGAAAATTGTAACTGCTCTAACGGTGGGACTTGCGATAGTATGACTGGTAAATGCACTTGTACAGACGGCTTCTATGGCATCAAATGCGAACACGTCTGCCAACCTGGAACCTATGGAGAAAGCTGCACGAAATTATGCCAGTGTCAAAACAGCGCAACTTGTGATCCAGTCGACGGTCTTTGTACTTGCACGTCTGGCTTCAGGGGTGAATTTTGTCAAAATATTTGTCGGCCAAATTTCTTTGGCTTAAGGTGCGCTAAAGAATGTCGTTGTCAAAATGGAGCATATTGTAATCCTGTAGATGGGACGTGCGACTGTGCACATGGGTATAGAGGGAGCTTTTGCGAAACTCTTTGTCCCACTGGCTACTATGGACTGGCGTGCTCTAAATTGTGTTCGTGTTTGAACGGTGCAGCTTGCGACAATGTAGATGGCACGTGTTATTGTGCACCTGGGTATAGAGGTGTTACTTGTGCAGATATATGTCCGCGTGACACATACGGAGATAACTGTGCAAATGAATGCACTTGTCAGAACGGAGATTGTGATCACGTGTTAGGGACATGTAATTGTTTTACGGGCTGGCAGGGCGCCGACTGCAACATACCATGCAATGCCGGTACATATGGAGAGGGATGTCAGGAAGTATGTATTTGCAAAAACGGTGGTGTATGCAACCATGTATCGGGTGTTTGTCGTTGTCCTCCTGGATGGAGAGGCATTGACTGCAGTTCAAGCTGTCCTGAGGGTACCTATGGGTTCAAGTGTAATAAGCGTTGTGTTTGTCAGAATGAGGCAGTTTGTGACAATGTGGATGGGTCATGTACATGTACAGCAGGGTGGACTGGAAGCCTCTGCAGTCAGCCATGTCCAAAAGGAAAATACGGGTTAAATTGCGCGGAAATATGTCCTTGTAAAAATGGAGCCCGATGTCACCATATTAGTGGCAAATGTACTTGCACCTCAGGTTGGCAGGGTGATTTCTGCTCTAAACCTTGCCCTGCAGGAAGGTATGGCCTTAAATGTCGTTCAGTGTGTACTTGTGAAAACAATGCTCAATGCGATCACGTGGATGGCACGTGTACGTGCTCGCCCGGATGGCAGGGTAATCAATGTTCAAGTCCGTGTGGTCCAGGTACATTTGGCTATGAATGTGCACAGCAATGTCGCTGTCTGAACCAAGGAACTTGTAGCCATATTGACGGACGATGTACATGTGTTGCCGGCTATTATGGTCCTGCTCTGTCTCTTATACACATCTAGATGTGTATAAGAGACAGCTATTTAATATAATTAAAAGGCAAATAAATTTAATATAATACCCTACGTTAAAATCACTAAATTTGATTCCTCTTCTAGGCCTGTATATTACAACACGTATGCTTTGCGTCTAGAAGTTATCACTAGAAAGGCCTTACACTGTTGTCCCGGTTACAGGAATGACACGGGTACCTGTATTCGTAAGTTAACTAATGCTTTTTTGGGGAGCATCCTATAAATTCGTAATGGGTCTTTCCAGAATGTCAATCGAATTTAACAACTGACCAATCAGAATAGGGCAATGAGTATGCGCTTGTCGGACAAGCGCATGTGTTGTCCTGCAGAGGCACGTGACGTGCAACATACCCAAGGGGCGGTCTAAAGCCTCGGGTTGGAGAAGCTTCTGTGGCGAGCCGTGTCCAGATGGAACATTTGGTCAAGGATGTGAAGGAAGATGCCGGTGTGAAAATGGGGCAAGCTGTGACCGATTTGACGGACGCTGCACCTGCACCGCTGGTTGGTTTGGAGCCTCTTGTGACGCAGCCTGTGAGGTAGGATTCTATGGAGCTCATTGCACACTGACATGTGAATGTTTAAATGGCGCCACCTGTAGTCGGTTTGATGGTAGTTGTGAATGTTCAAATGGATACACCGGAGAACAATGCGGGCTGCTCTGTCCACAAGGGTATTTTGGTGAAAATTGTGAGAGCCGTTGTCGCTGTTATCATAATGCTGAATGCTCTCCATTTGATGGCACGTGCAGCTGTCCAGCCGGATGGAGTGGAGACAGATGTGGCACGCCGTGCGAAGCAGGATTGTTTGGAGTCCAGTGCTTGGAGCGATGTAGGTGCCAGAATGGAGGAGCTTGTTCTAGATTTGATGGGGCATGCACATGCACAAACGGATGGCAAGGTGAATTGTGTAACCGTGAATGTGAACCGAATCGATGGGGACATAAATGCCAACAATTATGCTTGTGCGAAAACGATGCAACTTGCTCGCGGTTTGATGGTACTTGCAGTTGTGGGTATGGTTGGTATGGCGAACACTGCAATACGCCCTGTCCTGAAAATAGATATGGACTTGGATGTACCCAACGATGCAAATGCAAAAATAATGCAGAATGTTCAAACATTGATGGAACCTGTACATGTGGAGTTGGTTGGACTGGGAACCAATGTGACATTGCTTGCCCGACCGGTCTTTATGGTGCAGAGTGCAAAAGCACCTGCTTATGTCAGAACGGAGGAACGTGCAACAGATTCGACGGCACTTGCCATTGCCCACCCGGTTGGCAGGGGATTTATTGCAGTACTGAATGCAGTCCCGGGACTTACGGTGAAGCATGTGAACGCAAGTGTCATTGCAGAAATGACGCAGAGTGCTCTCACATCGATGGTGTTTGCACCTGTACAACTGGTTGGTCTGGTGTAAGATGTGACGAGCCGTGTAGACAAGGGTTGTTTGGTCCTGATTGTAATTCAAGATGTAAGTGTCGCAATGGTGCATCATGTTCGCGATTCGACGGTACATGCACCTGTCCAGCCGGATTTATTGGCCAGATGTGCAGTAACTCTTGTGGTGATGGCTTTTTTGGAGTTCAGTGTTTTCGGACTTGTGCATGTGGTGAGCATGACGCAGAATGCTCACCAGTTGACGGCACATGTACTTGTAAAGCTGGCTGGACTGGGGATCTGTGTGATACGCCGTGTTCGAATGACCGATGGGGTGATGATTGTAAAAATGAGTGCAATTGCCTCAACAATGGACAATGCGACCGAATTACTGGGGAGTGTCATTGTGCACCCGGTTGGACAGGCACCATCTGTCACACACCGTGTTCGACTGGACGATATGGTATTGACTGTGCGTTTGAATGTCTCTGTCAAAATTCTCGTTTCACTGGGGAATGCACATGTACAAGCGGTTGGTCTGGAGATACATGTGAATACCCCTGCCCGTCTGGTTACTATGGAGTCGGATGTAAAAGTAAGTGTAGATGCCAAAATGGAGCCGTCTGTGACCCAGAAGATGGTAGATGCCGTTGTGGTCCCGGATGGACTGGTGCTGTATGTAATCTAGAATGTCCAGACGGATATTACGGTTTGAGGTGTCAGTTTCGCTGTAGATGCCTAAATAAGGGAGTGTGCAACAAGCAAGATGGAACGTGCATATGTGCCAGTGGATGGGTTGGCGAGTCATGTAACATCCAATGTACTGAAGGAACTTACGGTGCAGGCTGTCTCAAAACGTGTGCTTGCAAGAATGGCGCGCAGTGCTCCAGATTCGATGGAACGTGTTCTTGCACAGATGGATGGATGTCTACTGAATGTGACGTTCCATGTCCTGCAAACAGGTACGGCGCAAACTGTGTCAAGGTATGTCACTGCAAAAACTATGGAACCTGTGACCGTTTTACGGGTGCGTGTGACTGCTTAGCGGGCTGGGCTGGTACTGCGTGTGATTCCCCATGCTTGCCAGGTTTCTTTGGGCCTAACTGCAACAAACGCTGTAAATGTGACAACGAGGCGAGTTGTTCCTCTATTGATGGTAGTTGTACTTGTCCCGACGGGTGGAAAGGTACAAGATGCAATGAACCTTGCGATGAACGTCATTTTGGAAAGGACTGTTCACAACTATGTTTATGTCAAAATGGTGCCACATGTGATCGTTTCACAGGGGCTTGCGGCTGTGCTCCAGGATGGCAAGGGAATGCGTGTGATATTGCATGCTCGAGCAGGTGATATGGCAAAAATTGTGAACACCTCTGTCGTTGTCAGAACCTAGCAGACTGCGATACAGTTGATGGTAGCTGCACGTGTAAATCAGGATGGACTGGGAGATATTGTGACACTCCCTGTCAGCAAGGCTTTTATGGTGCTAACTGCTTGTACACATGTACATGTGAAAACGAGGCATCATGTTCTAGATTCAACGGGGCGTGCACGTGTCCCCCTGGATGGTTTGGAGATTTATGCAACATGGAATGTGCAGACAACACGTATGGTCTCCAGTGCTTAGAAGAATGTGATTGTGAAAATGGGGCCTCATGCTCTCGGTTTGATGGATCGTGCACATGTGCACCCGGCTGGACGGGACCGAAGTGCGATGTGGCATGTAGGGAAGGTTACTATGGTGCATATTGCACTAAAAGATGCCGTTGCACAAATGGAGGAACATGCTCTCCTTCCATTGGTGTCTGTGAATGTACTGCGGGGTGGACTGGGTCCTCGTGCGCCATCCCGTGTCAGGAGGGCCGTTACGGAGTAGGCTGTCTTGGAGGCTGTTTATGTCAGAACAACGCAGCATGCAGTTCTATTGATGGGTCATGCACTTGTTTAACTGGTTGGGTTGGAACATACTGCGAAACAACTGGTAAGGTGAAAAAATCCTCATTAATCTTTCATTCTTTTTTATATAATTTCTTAAAAAGTCGTTAGTTTATCCCTTTAATGTTTGTATTTTCCTTTTTAAATTGGATTGGATTCCCAGTTATTATCACTACCACTACTACCACAAATCAATATTTAATGTTTAATTTTGAGACAGTGCAGAATTATTAGGCCTAGCAAAAGGCACATTAAGAAACACAATCTTTATTTCGATGGCGTTTTCGTCAGGAAATTTGTATACGACGTATAACACGTCAGGTAGGGGAAAACATCCTTCAAAACACAATTTTTGTTTCTGAAGTGTAAACAGTTGTCAAAACTATTAACTGACTGATTATTGATTGATTAATCTGCTGATTTGATTGATTGATTGATTATTGCTAGATATCATTGGATTCAAAACCTCGCAAATAATATCAACAAGGGAAGTCACATGTTCAGAGGTGCTGGTGTATTATGAGGACGGCAAACACATATTTGAATGCCAAGAAATACGGTGGGTAAAGAAATACCGGCGGCCAAAATAAGCATATAGGCGCAGCCTAACTCTAAACCAATGGTAGGCCTATCTTTGTGTTTCATATTCTCTCCACGACAACCATTGCTCTCTCGCAGCCCTGATTTTGCACACTCCAACTTAAGATAAATGTGAGGACTTACTCGATCGCAGTTGTCTTAATGTGTTTTACTTTCTATATCTTTTGAACTTAGAGTGGATGGTCTAAGATTCCCAAATGGAGTGACATGTCGAGAACGCTGGGTGGACCGGATTCCCGATAAATCGGACGCGTACTTCCACATGCGTACTGATCACGTGGGATTCTGCAGGACGGTCCTAAATAACAATGATGACTACACTAAAAGTCAACTACAGGTTCGATTTGGTTTTAATTAGTGGTTTTATTTGTTAATTCACTAAAACTTAAAATCCTAATAATATTTACTTTAAAGTTCCCCTCCAAATATTATTATAGACCTATAATATTTTATTGGGGAACGAAAAACTAAAGTTTATTGCGACATGACGACAACGAACAATGACGCTCCGCTGTTTAAATTGGAAAGAGCTGCGGGTAATGAGGTTGTGCAGGAAGTTGTCGAGTGTTCGGGTATCAATGCATATGAGCATTAAAATTAAAGGTCTATATATAGATTTTCTCCTTAAATCGTTAAACAATCTTTAATATCTGCAAAGAGAGAGAAAATAATTATAATTTTAGAATTAAAGTTTCATTTTTTTAAATTTTGTTTTTAATTATTATAATAATAATTATATAATTTTTTTTATATAATTGTTATATATATATATTTGTTATATATATATATACTGTCTCTTATACACATCTCTCGAGCAGGTGATATACATCCCTTAAGGCCCTGAAGGTGCAGCACTGTACCAATATATAACGGATATATTTCCCCCCTATAAAGTGGCACTACACTATTTTACTAAAAACAAAGATATATCTACGATGAAAGTAAGGCAAGCACCTGAATGATAATTACTACAGTAATGATCAAACAGAAAGTGTGATGTATGAAAACATTAAACAATTTTAAAATAATTTACAAAAGTTACCATTATCATCCGCAGGGCGTTCGTGTTGAAGTCTCATTCAAATGCGCCGAATCTCGTGAATATCGGATCCAATGGATGGACAATACTTGGCTTACAAATGTAGTGCAAGATGCAGGCTATGCCAATCATCTCCGATGTATAATCCAAGACAGCATAAGAACTGTTTATTGACAACTTGGATAATTAGAACTGTGGGACACGCCTGTCTATTGATCGACCAATCAAAAGCCTTTCCTAATATAAAGCCAATCCTATATAAAATAATTTTAGAATGAAACTAGAAATCAGCATTTAGCAGCTTATATATAAGTTATAATAGATAATTGAATAGTGATCAGGTTTGAAATTTAACGCAATTATGTAAAAAAATAATAAAGATATGCCTCATGTGAATGATAAATGTGGATATAATAATGGTGATGATAAGGATAATGATGATAAGGATAATAATAATAATAATAATAATAATAATAATAATAATAATAATAATAATAATAATAATAATAAATATTGTTATTATTATAATGTTGTATTATCATAATAAAAAATAACAATAATAGTAATGTGGATTATACAGTGAAAGGTATTCTTCCAAGTGATGAGGATGGTTAAAATACAATTACATGATAGTGAATGTAAAATTATAATGGTAATGACAATGGTAATGAAAAATGATAATGGCAATTTTAATGATAATATATTATGATATTGATAATGATAATGACAATTATAATGATAATATATTATGATATTGATAATGATAATGACAATTATTATGAGGCCTAAAAAGATTGTGTGTTTGTCCTCCCATGCTGGAAATTGTATAGAAGGGGCAGTGGAAAAAAGATTTTTTTTAATTTTATTATTTTTTTCAAGATTACTCGTCAGAAGGAATAAAAATAACCCAAAGTTGACATTTTGCAATTATTGTAGTTATAGAGTGGCAATATCTTACATCGGACAACAACTTTAAACAACTTTGTAAGGCAACTGGTAAAAAATTAAGATCAATTCACTCACATTTTTTTTAATTTGTAAAAGAAAAAAGCTAAAAAGACCCTTTTTTAAAAAGTTTTTTGTTTTGCCGTCCTTACTTTGTGAGGAGGGCAAACAAACATTTCTTAGGCCTGATAATAATAATGTATAGTATTATTAAAACTAATGACAATATTATTTTATGGAAGATGAAGATTAGAATGATAATACTGATAATCTGTATTGTGTAGAGTATCTGCGAATACATGGCTGCATAGAGAGTGACGCTGACCCAAGTACCCGGCTCATGTAATTTAATTGATTCTGGTCCTTAAACTTCATTGTTTCTTTTGTCGGTCATATTTTTGACTTCTTTTGGAGGGGCGCCATGAGCGTTTTCTTTAAACGGATACTTAAATTAAATTTATATAGATATAAATTCTTGTCCTAATATACAATGCCAGAGGAAAGGATATCACGTTTTAGTCACCAAAAAGGATTTTCCACGGACGCACAGAGTAGGCCTTATAGTAGGCCTATGGCCCAAAGCGAACGAGTTTCTGGTCTCGAAAACCCAGACACTTCGTTAAGGCCTATACAGT